CCCCCCTAATGGAACATCTTCGCCGGTTAGAAACATTTAGGCTGGCCTGCCTCCGATCCATCCTCGGTTTAACCAGACTGGATTGTGTGAGGAGCTCACAAATCCTTGAAAGATCTGGGCAGGGTCCCATCGGTGAGCTCCTCCGGCAGGCAAGGCTGCGATGGCTGGGTCATGTAGCCCGCATGCCCAGCCACCGCATGCCGAAACAGCTTTTGTTTGGCCGGATTGAGGGGGCTAAGCGGGCGCGGCACGGGCTAGAGAAGAGATGGAGTGATGTGGTACAGGAGGACGTGGAGCTGAGTGGACTTGCCGATGACTGGTACCAGCGGTGTCAAGATCGGCCTCTGTGGAGGAGGCTCGTGAAGGATGCTACTGGGCAGTTGGAGGCAGTCGCCCTCCAACAACAACGGAGGGCGGAGGAGCGACGCTCACAACAGCGAGCGGAGCGCCGGGTGGCTAAAGCACAGCAGGTTGGCACAGTAGGGGGCACAGGTGGTGCATCAGCCAGTCATCTCAGTCAGTCGACCCGTGGCACCTGGGTCTGCCCCGTGACCTCCTGCCAGCGGGCGTTCGATACTTCACGTGGCCTCAGGGTGCACATAGCCTGGCACAAGCGTCGTGGTGACGTCACCGCCACTTAGTGGCGAATGGCGGTTGTTGTTGTTGTTGTTGTGTGTTAGGGTGTGTGTGTTAAGTGTGTGTGTGTTAGTGTGTGTGTGTTAGTGTGTGTGTTAGTGTGTGTGTGTTAGTGCGTGTTAGTGTGTGTGTGTTAGTGTGTGTTAGAGTGTGTGTGTTAGTGTGTGTTAGTGTGTGTGTGTGTTAGTGTGTGTGTGTGTTAGTGTGTGTGTGTTAGTGTGTGTGTGTGTTAGTGTGTGTGTTAGTGTGTGTGTTAGTGTGTGTGTTAGTGTGTGTGTTAGTGTGTGTGTGTTAGTGTGTGTGTGTTAGTGTGTGTGTGTTAGTGTGTGTGTTAATGTGTGTGTGTTAATGTGTGTGTGTTAGTGTGTGTGTGTGTGTGTTAGTGTCTGTGTTAGTGTGTGTGTGTGTTAGTGTGTGTGTTAGTGTGTGTGTTAGTGTGTGTGTGTTAGTGTGTGTGTTAGTGTGTGTGTTAGTGTGTGTGTGTTAGTGTGTGTGTGTTAGTGTGTGTGTGTTAGTGTGTGTGTTAGTGTGTGTGTTAGTGTGTGTGTTAGTGTGTGGTGTTAGTGTGTTAGTGTTAGTGTGTGTTGATGTGTGTGTTGGTGTGTGTGTTAGTGTGTGTTAGTGTGTGTGCGTGTTAGTGTGTGTGTGTTAGTGTGTGTGTTAGTGTTAGTTTGTTATTGTTAGTGTGTGTGTTTGTGTGTGTTAGTGTGTGTTAGTGTGTTAGTGTTAGTTTGTTATTGTTAGTGTGTGTGTGTTTGTGTGTGTTAGTGTGTGTTAGTGTGTGTGTGTGTGTTAGTGTGTGTTAGTGTGCGTGTGTTAGTGTGTGTTAGTGTGTTAGTGTTAGTGTGTGTGTGTGTTAGTGTGTGTGTGTGTTAGAGTGTGTTAGTGTGTGTTAGTGTGTGTTAGTGTCTGTGTGTTAGTGTGTGTTAGTGTGTGTGTTAGTGTGTGTGTGTTAGTGTGTGTGTTCGCTCAGAACAACGAGCGGAGCGCCGGGTGGCTAAAGCACAGCAGATTGGCACAGTAGGGGGCACAGGTGGTGCATCAGCCAGTCATCTCAGTCAGTCGACCCGTGGCACCTGCTGGGTCTGCCCCGTGACCTCCTGCCAGCGGGTGTTCGACACTTCACGTGGCCTCAGGGTGCACATAGCCTGGCACAAGCGTCGTGGTGACGTCACCGCCACTTAGTGGCGAATGGCGGTTGTTGTTGTTGTGTTAGCAGGAACATCTGCTGGACTACATAGTGACGGACCAGCGGATGCGAGAGCCCATGTCCTTGACACCAGGACCTTCCGTGGAGCTGATCTGCCCTCTGACCATCGACTAGTCATCTGTAAGATGCGCCTACCATTCTTCCACTCCGGTGGTGGGTGTATACCCAGGACCCCATTCCAACCTAAAGTGGCCTGGTCTCAGTTATCTGATGAAAGTTGCAAGCGAGAATTTCATCATCGCCTGCGGCTGGGGTTGGCATCGTCCCCTACTCCTCCTGATGTCGAGGGTAAATGGGCGAGGTTTAGGACTGTGACTCATGCAGCTGCAATGGCTGCTTTGGGTACGCGGTCCAGACCTCCCCAGAGACCCTGGCTGACAGAGGAGGTGTTCAGGATAGTTGAGAAAAAGCGACAGGCCCACTGTCATCGGCTACAGAATCCCACGTCAGAGAATGAGGAGACTTACCGAAGCCTTCGCTCGGAGGTTCGGAGAGCCGTGAGGCGCTGCAAGGATGGGTGGTGGTCGCGGGTTGCTGAGGAGATGGAGTCTTCCTCAGTGGCCCGCGATCACAAATCTCTATTTAACTCCATCAAAAAGTAACCTGCAGCACCACACCTATTAACATCATTAGGGGAAAAAACGGTGATCCAATCTCCGACCCCCAGGAACAGGTTTGCAGATTTGCTGAGCATTTCTGTGAAGTCCTGGGGGAGGGAAAATTCCTCAGCCAGGAAAACATCTTGGGACAAAGTGAGGATGACCCTGCTGAGGCTGCGGTGCCTCAAATATTACAAGAAGTCACCCCCTGTGAGTGGCTGGCTGGGGTGCCATCTTTTGAGGAAGTACTGAAGGCGATCCGGAGTCTGAGACCAGGAAAGGCAGCGGGCAGAGATGATCTCCCAAGCGAAATGCTGAGGGAGGGTGGCGTTTGTGCACAGACTGCCCTATATGACATCATAACAACAATCTGGACCACTGGACGGGTTCCGCAGGATTGGAAAGATGCCCTGGTGGTCCCCCTTTTTAAGAAGGGGGACCGCACAGACTGTAACAATTACAGGGGCATCTCACTCCTCAGTGTGCCGGGAAAGGTCCTGGCAAGGATTATTTAACATCGCCTTGCCAGGCACGCTGAAGAGAGGCTTGCGGAGCCCCAATGCTGTTTCAGGAAAGGGCGGTCCTGCACAGATGCTATATTTTCTGTCCGTCTGCTACAGCAGAGGTGTTCGGAATTCCAACAAGACCTACATCTATGCTTTATTGACCTGGTCAAGGCCTATGATACCATCAGTAGGCCTGGGCTCTGGGTTGGTCTTAGTGCTTTTGGAGTCCCTGACCCTCTGCTCACGATCATTAAGGACCTTCATGATGGTGAGCGGGCCCGGGTAAAACTACGTGGCCAGGAGTCAGAGCCATTCCCTGTACACCTTGGGGTGCGACAGGGATGTCCTCTGGCTCCCACATTATTTAACATCTATTTTGACCACATAGTTCGTGAAGCCTTCATTAGCTGTACCGGGAGAATCTCCATATGGTACAGATATATTGGGAGGCTGATCGATGCCCGGGTGCGGTCAAGGGATGGCTCCCTATTGCTCAACCACGTTATGTATGCCGATGATTTGGTAATAGCTGCTCATTCAGAGGAGGAGTTGGAGACGCTGCTGCTGAGACTGGAGCATGCCACTAAGAGGTGGGGCCTTACCATCAGCCCCACCAAAACTAAGCACCTGCCTGGGTATTTTGTACCATCGGACACTCCACCCCCACTACTCCCAATCGGTGATGGGGCAGTTGTGGAGAGAGTGGAGAGTTTTCCATACCTGGGCAGTGTGCTTATGACTGACTCCAGTTTAACAGCAGAGGTCTCACTCCGAATCAGTCGAGCGGCAATATCTTTTCATCGGTTGCGTAACGCTGTGTGGAAGCTACCTGGTCTGTCGCTCCACACTTAGCTTCAGGTCTTCTCGGCCACGGTCATTCCCTCCCTTCTCTACGCTTGCGAAACGTGGACCCCCCTAGTGGAACATCTTCGCCGGTTGGAAACATTTAGGCTGGCCTGCCTACGATCCATCCTGGGTTTAACCAGGCTGGATTGTGTGAGGAGCTCACAAATCCTTGAAAGATCTGGGCAAGGTCCCATCGGTGAGCTCCTCCGGCAGGCAAGGCTGCGATGGCTGGGTCATGTAGCCCGCATGCCCAGCCACCGCATGCCGAAACAGCTTTTGTTTGGCCGTATTGAGGGGGCTAAGCGGGCGCGGCACGGGCTAGAGAAGAGATGGAGTGATGTGGTACAGGAGGACGTGGAGCTGAGTGGACTTGCCGATGACTGGTACCAGCGGTGTCAAGATCGGCCTCTGTGGAGGAGGCTCGTGAAGGATGCTACTGGGCAGTTGGAGGCAGTCGCCCTCCAACAACAACGGAGGGCGGAGGAGCGACGCTCACAACAACGAGCGGAGCGCCGGGTGGCTAAAGCACAGCAGGTTGGCACGGTAGGGGGCACAGGTGGTGCATCAGCCAGTCATCTCAGTCAGTCGACCCGTGGCACCTGGGTCTGCCCCGTGACCTCCTGCCAGCGGGCGTTCGACACTTCACGTGGCCTCAGGGTGCACATAGCCTGGCACAAGCGTCGTGGTGACGTCACCGCCACTTAGTGGCGAATGGCGGTTGTTGTTGTGTGTTAGTGTGTGTTAGTGTGTGTGTTAGTGTGTGTGTGTGTGTGTTAGTGTGTGTGTGTTAGTGTGTGTGTGTGTTAGTGTGTGTGTGTTAGTGTGTGTATGTGTGTTAGTGTGTGTTAGTGTGTGTGTTAGTGTGTGTGTTAGTGTGTGTGTGTTAGTGTGTGTTAGTGTGTGTGTGTTAGTGTGTGTTAGTGTGTGTGTGTTAGTGTGTGTGTCTGTGTAAGTTCGATTCCCGCTCACGGCCAACACCAGTGACGATTATCTGAACCGGTCCCGGGCCTCCCCTAGGTCGACTCAGCCTCAAATGAGTACCTGGTGCGGTGTGTAAACATTGCCACTAGGGAGACAAAGGCGGTCGGGCGTGGTGCTGGCCACCCACCCCCTCTTGTACCGTTCCGGTCTTCATAGGTGCTCGCTAACAGCACTTGCCCCTACAGTCTGTTAAGGCTATATGGGGGATCTTTGTCTTTGTAGACCATGAAAGTTTTACTCTTCAAAGAAGCCAGGGATGGGGATGAAGAAGGAGACCCATACCACCAGGTACACTCACCACTCACTCACCACTCACTCACCACTCACTCACCACTCACTCACCACTCACTCATACACTAACTCACCACTAACTCACCACTCACTCACCACTAACTCACCACTCACTCACCACTCACTCATACACTCACTCATACACTCACTCACCACTCACTCAGTCACTCACTCAGTCACTCACTCACTCACCACCCACTCACCACTCACCACTCACTCACACACTCACTCATACACTCACTCAGTCACTCACTCATACACTCACTCACCACTCACTCACCACTCACTCATACACTCACTCACCACTCACTCACTCACCACTCACTCACCACTCACTCACTCACCACTCACTCACCACTCACTCATACACTCACTCACCACTCACTCACCACTCACTCACTCATACACTCACTCACCACTCACTCATACACTCACCACTCACTCACCACTCACTCACCACTCACTCATACACTCACTCACCACTCACTCATACACTCACTCACCACTCACCACTCACTCACCACTCACTCACCACTCACTCACTCAGTCACTAACTCATACACTCACTCACTCACTCATACACTCACTCACTCACTCATACACTCACTCACTCACTCATACACTCACTCACTCATACACTCACTCATACACTCACTCAGTCACTAACTCATACACTCACTCATACATTCACTTATACACTCACTCACTCATACACTCACTCACTCATACACTAACTCACCACTCAGTCACTCACTCACTCATACACTCACTCAGTCACTAACTCATACACTCACTCATACATTCACTCATACACTCACTCACTCATACACTCACTCACTCATACACTAACTCACCACTCAGTCACTCACTCACTCATACACTCACCACTAACTCACCACTAACTCACCACTAACTCACCACTCACTCACCACTAACTCACCACTCACTCACCACTCACTCATACACTCACTCACTCACCACTCACTCACTCATACACTCACTCACTCATACACTCACTCATACACTCACTCATACACTCACTCACTCATACACTCACTCACTCATACACTCACTCATACACTCACTCACCACTCACTCACCACTCACTCACCACTCACTCACTCATACACTCACTCACTCACCACTCACTCATACACTCACTCATACACTCACTCATACACTCGCTCATGCACTCACTCATACACTCACTCATACACTCACTCACCACTCACTCATACACTCACTCACCACTCACTCACTCACCACTCAATCACCACTCACTCACTCATACACTCACTCACCACTCACTCATACACTTACTCACTCATACACTCACTCACTCATACACTCACTCATACACTCACTCACCACTCACTCACTCACCACTAACTCACCACTCACTCATACACTCACTCATACACTCACTCACTCACTCATACACTCACTCACTCATACACTCACTCACTCACTCATACACTCACTCACCACTCACTCACCACTAACTCACCACTCACTCATACACTCACCACTCATTCACTCAGTCACTCACTCACTCATACACTCACTCACACACTCACTCAGTCACTCACACTCATACACTCACTCACTCATACACTCACTCATACACTCACTCACCACTAACTCATACACTCACTCATCACTCATACACTCATACAGTAACTCACCACTAACTCACCACTAACTCACCACTAACTCACCACTCACTCACCACTCACTCACCACTAACTCACCACTCACTCACCACTAACTCGTACACTCACTCACCACTAACTCATACAATCACTCATACACTCACTCATACACTCACTCACTCATACACTCAACACTCACTCATACACTCACTCACCACTAACTCATACACTCACTCACCACTAACTCACCACTCACTCACCTCTCACTCACCACTAACTCACCACTCACTCACCACTAACTCACCACTAACTCACCACTCACTCATACACTCAGTCACTCACTCACCACTAACTCACCACTAACTCATACACTCACCACTCACTCACTCACCACTCACTCACTCATCACTAACTCATACACTTACTCACTCATACACTCACTCACTCATACACTCACTCATACACTCACTCATACACTCACACTCATACACTCACTCACCACTCACTCATACACTCACCACTAACTCACCACTAACTCACCACTAACTCATACACTCACTCACAACTCACTCACCACTCACTCACCACTCACCACTCACTCACCACTAACTCATACACTCACTCATACACTCACCACTCATTCACTCATACACTCACTCACTCATACACTCACTCACTCATACACTCACTCATATACTCACTCACCACTAACTCATACACTCACTCACCACTCATACACTCACTCACTCATACACTCACTCACTCACACACTCACTCACTCACACACTCACTCATACACTCACTCACTCACTCATACACTCACCACTCACTCACTTATACACTCACTCATACACTCACTCACCCACTCACTCACCCACACTCACACACTCACTCACTCACCACTAACTCACCACTAACTCATACACTCATACACTCACTCATACACTCACTCACTCATACACTCACTCTCTCATACACTCACTCACTCACACACTCACTCATACACTCACTCATACACTCACTCACCACTAACTCATACACTCACTCACCACTCATACACTCACTCACTCATACACTCACCAATAACTCACCACTAACTCACCACTAACTCACCACTCACTCACCACTCACTCACCACTAACTCATACACTCACTCATACCTTCACTCACTCACTCATACACTCACTAACTCATACACTCACTCACTCATACAATCACTCACTCATACAATCACTCACTCATACACTCACTCATTCACTCACTCACTCATACACTCACTCACTCATACACTCACTCACTCACTCACACACCCACTCACTCACTCACACACTCATTCACTAACTCAACACTAACTCACCACTAACTCACCACTCACCACTAACTCACCACTCACCACTAACTCACCACTCACTCACCACTCACTCATACACTAACTCACCACTAACTCACCACTCACCACTCACCACTAACTCACCACTAACTCACCACTCACTCACCACTCACTCACCACTAACTCACCACTAACTCACCACTCACTCACCACTGTTCCAGGCTCTCTCCGCTGCTGGGATTCACTCCACACTGATGCCAGCTCTGTCATTCCGCTATGTCAGACTTACTGAGCTACGGGACGCGGTGAGGAACACACTCACCACACTCACCACACTCACCACACTCACCACACTCACCACACTCACCACCACGCTCACCACCACACTCACCACCACACTCACCACCACACTCACCACACTCACCACACTCACCACCACGCTCACCACCACACTCACCACCACACTCACCACCACACTCACCACCATGCTCACCACCACACTCACCACCACACTCACCACCACGCTCACCACCACGCTCACCACCACACTCACCACCACGCTCACCACCACGCTCACCACCACACTCACCACCACGCTCACCACCACACTCACCACCATGCTCACCACCACGCTCACCACCACGCTCACCACCACGCTCACCACCACCACCACCACCACACTCACTACCACACTCGCCACCACCACGCTCACCACCACCACCACCACCACACTCACCACCACCACCACCACCACACTCACCACCACCACACTCACCACCACGCTCACCACCACACTCACCACCACCACGCTCACCACCACGCTCACCACCACGCTCACCACCACCATCACCACCACCATCACCACCACCACGCTCACCACCACACTCACCACCACCACGCTCACCACCACGCTCACCACCACCACGCTCACCACCACCACCACCACCACACTCACCACCACACTCACCACCACACTCACCACCACACTCACCACCACACTCACCACCACCACCACCACGCTTACCACCACCACCATCACCACCACCACCACCACCACACTCACCACCACCCTCACCCTCACCACCACCACCACCACCACCCTCACCAGATGCTGCGTCCTGGTGACTTTGCCGGCCTGGTGTTGACCAGCCCCCGGGCGGTCGAGGCGGTGAGGCTAGCGGTGAGCGGCGTTGGGGTGAGTCACGTGGGGGTGAGTCACGTGGGGGTGAGTCACGTGGGGGTGAGCGGCGTGGGGGTGAGCGGCGGGGGGGTGAGCGGCGGGGGGGTGAGCTGGGAGGCTGCGGTGAGGGAGGAGTGGGGGCGGAGGAAAGTTTATGTTGTGGGAGAGGCGACGGGGGAAGCTGGTGAGTGACTCACCCACCCACTCATACACTCACTCATACACTCACTCATACACTCACTCATACACTCACTCACTCACTCATACACTCACTCATACACTCACTCACTCATACACTCACTCATACACTCACTCATACACTCACTCATACACTCACTCACTCACTCATACACTCACTCATACACTCACTCACTCATACACTCACTCATACACTCACTCATACACTCACTCATACACTCATACACTCACTCACCACTCACTCACACACTCATACACTCACTCATACACTCATACACTCACTCATACACTCATACACTCACTCATACACTCACTCACTCACTCATACACTCACTCACTCACCCACTCACTCACTCACTCATACACTCACTCATACACTCACCCACTCATACACTCACTCATACACTCACTCACTCATACACTCACCCACTCACTCATACACTCACTCATACACTCACTCACACACTCACTCACTCACCCACTCACCCACTCACCCACTCCTCACCCACCCACTCACCCACCCACTCACTCACCCACCCACTCACTCACCCACTCACTCACTCACCCACTCACTCACTCAACAACAACAACCGCCATTCGCCACTAAGTGGCGGTGACGTCACCACGATGCTTGTGCCAGGCTATGTGCACCTTGAGGCCACGTGAAGTGTCGAACGCCCGCTGGCAGGAGGTCACGGGGCAGACCCAGCAGGTGCCACGGGTCGACTGACTGAGATGACTGGCTGATGCACCACCTGTGCCCCCTACTGTGCCAATCCGCTGTGCTTTAGCCACCCGGCTCTCCGCTCGTTGTTGTGAGCGTCGCTCCTCCGCCCTCCGTTGTTGTTGGAGGGCGACTGCCTCCAACTGCCCAGTAGCAGCGTCCTTCACGAGCCTCCTCCACAGAGGCCGATCTTGACACCGCTGGTACCAGTCATCGGCAAGTCCACTCAGGTCCACGTCCTCCTGTACCACATCACTCCATCTCTTCTCTAGCCCGTGCCGCGCCCGCTTAGCCCCCTCAATCCGGCTGAACAAAAGCTGTTTCGGCATGCGGTGGCTGGGCATGCGGGCTACATGACCCAGCCAACGCAGCCTTGCCTGCCGGAGAAGCTCACCGATGGGACCTTGCCCAGATCTTTCAAGGATTTGTGAGCTCCTCACACAATCCAGCCTGTTTAAACCCAGGATGGATCGCAGGCAGGCCAGCCTAAATGTTTCCAACCGGAGAAGATGTTTCATTAAGGGGGTCCACGTTTCGCAAGCGTAGAGAAGGGAGGGAATGACCGTGGCCGAGAAGGCCTGAAGCTTAGTGCGGAGCGACAGACCAGGCAGCTTCCACACAGCGTTACGCAACCGATGAAAAGATATTGCCGCTCGACTGATTCGAAGTGAGACCTCTGCTGTTAAACTGGAGCCAGTCATAAGCACACTGCCCAGGTATGGGAAACTCTCCACTCTCTCCACAACTGCCCCATCACCGATTGGGAGTTGTGGGGGTGGAGTGTCCGATGGTACAAAATACCCAGGCAGGTGCTTAGTTTTGGTGGGGCTGATGGTAAGGCCCCACCTCTTAGTGGCACGCTCCAGTCTCAGCAGCAGCGTCTCCAACTCCTCCTCTGACTGAGCAGCTATTACCAAATCATCGGCATACATAACGTGGTTGAGCAGTAGGGAGCCATCCCTTGACCGCACCCGGGCATCGATCAGCCTCCCATTATATCTGTACCATATGGAGATTCCCCCGGTACAGCTATTGAAGGCTTCACGAACTACGTGGTTAAAATAGATGTTAAATAATGTGGGAGCCAGAGGACATCCCTGTCGCACCCCAAGGTGTACAGGGAATGGCTCCGACTCCCGGCCACGTAGTTTTACCCGGGCCCGCTCACCATCATGAAGGTCGTTAATGCTGAATAATCCTTGCCAGGACCTTTCCTGGCACATTGAGGAGTGAAATGCCCCTGTAATTGTTACAGTCTGTGCGGTCCCCCTTCTTAAAAAGGGGGACCACCAGGGCATCCTTCCAATCCTGCGGAACCCGTCCAGTGGTCCAGACTGTTGTTATGATGTCATATAGGGCAGTCTGTGCACAAACGCCACCCTCCCTCAGCATTTCGCTTGGGAGATCATCTCTGCCCGCTGCCTTTCCTGGTCTCAAACTCTGGATCGCCTTCAGTACTTCCTCAACAGATGGCACCTCAGCCAGCCACTCACAGGGGGTGACTTCTTCCAATATTTGAGGCACCGCAGCCTCAGCAGGGTCATCCTCACTTTGTGCCACGATGTTTTCCTGGCTGAGGGATTTTCCCTCCCCCAGAACCTCACAGAAATGCTCAGCAAATCTGCAAACCTGTTCCTGGGGGTCGGAGATTGGATCACCGTTTTTTCCCCTAATGATGGTAATAGGTGTGGCGCTGCAGGTTACTTTTTTGATGGAGTTAAATAGAGATTTGTGATCACGGGCCACTGAGGCAGACTCCATCTCCTCAGCAACCCGCGACCACCACCCATCCTTGCAGCGCCTCACGGCTCTCTGAACCTCCGAGCGAAGGCTGCGGTAAGCCTCCTCATTCTCTGATGTGGGATTCTGTAGCCGATGACAGTGGGCCTGTCGCTTTTTCTCAACCTTCCTGAACACCTCCTCTGTCAGCCAGGGTCTCTGGGGAGGTCTGGACCGCGTACCCAAAGCAGCCATTGCAGCTGCATGAGTCACAGTCCTAAACCTCGCCCATTTTCCCTCGACATCAGGAGGAGTCGGGGACGATGCCAACCCCAGCCGCAGGCAATGATGAAATTCTCGCTTGCAACTTTCATCAGATAACTGAGACCAGGCCACTTTAGGTTGGAATGGGGTCCTGGGTGTACACCCACCACCGGTTTGGAAGAATGGCAGGCGCATCCTTACAGATGACTAGTCGATGGTCAGAGGGCAGATCAGCTCCACGGTAGGTCCTGGTGTCAAGGACATGGGCTCGCATCCGCTGGTCCGTCACTATGGAGTCCAGCAGATGTTCTTGCTTGGACCCGGCATGCATCCATGATGTTGTGTGGATGCGCCGATGTGACACACACACACAGTGACACACACAGTGACACACACACACAGACAAAGACAAAGATCCCCCATATAGCCTTAACAGACTGTAGGGGCAAGTGCTGTTAGCGAGCACCTATGAAGGCCAGAACGGTACACGAGAGGGTGGGTGGCCAGCACCACGCCCGACCGCCTTTGTCTCCCCAGTGGCGATGTTTACTACACACCGCACCAGGTACTCATTTGAGGCTGAGTCGACCTAGGGGAGGCCCGGGACCGGTTCAGATAATCGTCACTGGTGTTGGCCGTGAGCGGGAATCTAACCCGGGTCGCCAGGTTCATAGCACAGCGTAGCGCTAACCACCACACTACCGCTCCCCACAACACAGTGACACACACACAGTGACACACACACAGTGACACACACACACAGTGACACACACACACACAGTGACACACACACACACAGTGACACACACACAGTGACACACACAGTGACACACACACACAGTGACACACACACAGTGACACACACACAGTGACACACACACAGTGACACACACACAGTGACACACACACAGTGACACACAGAGACACACACACACACACTGACACACACACAGTGACACACACACAGTGACACACACACACAGTGACACACACACACAGTGACACACACACACACAGTGACACACACAGTGACACACACACAGTGACACACACACACAGTGACACACACACACAGTGACACACTAAAACCTCACCTCCCCCACGCCATCAGTACGGATCAAGTTGGGACTGGACTCACAGTGACACACAGTGACACACACAGTGACACACACAGTGACACACACACAGTGACACACAGTGACACACACACAGTGACACACAGTGACACACACACAGTGACACAAACACAGTGACACACACACAGTAACACACACACACAGTGACACACACAGTGACACACAGTGACACACACACAGTGACACACACACAGTGACACACACACACACAGTGACACAGTGACACACACAGTGACACACACACAGTGACACACACACAGTGACACACACACAGTGACACACACACACAGTGACACACACACACAGTGACACACACACACAGTGACACACACACACAGTGACACACACACTGACACACACACTGACACACACAGTGACACACACAGTGACACACACACACAGTGACACACACAGTGACACACACACAGTGACACACACACAGTGACACACACAGTGACACACACACACACAGTGACACACACACACACAGTGACACACACACAGTGACACACACACACAGTGACACACACACACAGTGACACACACACACAGTGACACACACACACAGTGACACACACACACACAGTGACACACACACAGTGACACACACACACACACAGTGACACACACACACACACAGTGACACACACACAGTGACACACACACAGTGACACACACACAGTGACACACACACACACAGTGACACACACACACAGTGACTCACACACACAGTGACACACACACACACACAGTGACACACACACACACAGTGACTCACAGAGTGACACACACACACACAGTGACACACACACAGTGACACACACAGTGACACACACACACACAGTGACACACACAGTGACACACACACACAGTGACACACACACAGTGACACACACACAGTGACACACACAGTGACACACACAGTGACACACACACACAGTGACACACACACACACAGTGACACACACACACAGTGACACACACACAGTGACACACACACAGTGACATACACAGTGACACACACACAGTGACATACACAGTGACACACACACAGTGACACACACACAGTGACACACACACAGTGACACACAGTGACACACACACAGTGACACACACACAGTGACACACACACAGTGACACACACACACAGTGACACACACACACAGTGACACACTAAAACCTCACCTCCCCCACGCCATCAGCACGGACCAAGTTGGGACTGGACTCACTCGGAGCTCACAGCGGCAACGCTCAGCAGCTCGCCCTCAACATCATCAGCAGCAGCAGTAGCATCAGCAGCAGTAGCATCAGCAGCAGCCAAGGTGAGATCATCATCAGCAGAATCATCATCATCATCATCAACATCATCAGCAACAGTAGCATCAGTAGCATCAGCAGCCAAGGTGAGATCATCATCAGCAGAATCATCATCAACATCATCATCAGCAGCAGTAGCATCAGCAGCAGCCAAGGTGAGATCATCATCAGCAGCAGAATCATCATCATCAACATCATCAGCAGCAGCAGTAGCATCAGCAGCAGCCAAGGTGAGATCAGCATCAGCAGCAGAATCATCATCAACATCATCAACATCATCAGCAGCAGCAGTAGCATCAGCAGCAGCCAAGGTGAGATCATCATCAGCAGCAGAATCATCATCAACATCATCATCAGCAGCAGCAGCAGTAGCATCAGCAGTAGCATCAGCAGCACCCAAGGTGAGATCATCATCAGCAGAATCATCATCATCAACATCATCATCATCATCAGCAGCAGCAGTAGCATCAGCAGCAGTAGCATCAGCAGCAGCCAAGGTGAGATCATCATCAGCAGAATCATCATCATCAACATCATCAGCAGCAGTAGCATCAGCAGCAGCCAAGGTGAGATCATCATCAGCATCATCAAAATCATCATCATCAACATCATCAGCAGCAGCAGCATCAGCAGCAGCTCGCCCTCAACATCATCATCATCATCAGCAGCAGCAGTAGCATCAGCAGCAGCCAAGGTGAGATCATCAGCAGCAGAATTATCAACATCATCAACATCATCATCAGCAGCAGTAGCATCAGCAGCAGCCAAGGTGAGATATTCATCAGCATCATCAAAATCAGCATCATCAACATCATCAGCAGCAGCAGTAGCATCAGCAGCAGCCAAGGTGAGATCATCATCATCAACATCATCATCACCAGCAGCAGTAGCATCAGCAGCAGCCAAGGTGAGATCATCATCAGCATCATCAAAATCAGCATCATCAACATCATCAGCAGCAACAGCATCAGCAGCAGCCAAGGTGAGATCAGCATCATCATCATCAACATCATCAACATCATCAGCAGCAGTAGCATCAGCAGCACCCAAGGTGAGATCATCAGCAGCAGAATCATCATCAACATCATCAGCAGCAGCAGTAGCATCAGCAGCAGCAGCCAAGGTGAGATCATCATCAGCAGCAGAATCATCATCAACATCATCAGCAGCAGCAGCAGTAGCATCAGCAGCAGCCAAGGTGAGATCATCATCAGCAGAATCAACATCATCAGCAGCAGCAGCAGTAGCATCAGCAGCCAAGCTGAGATCATCATCAACATCATCAACATCATCAGCAGCAGCAGTAGCATCAGCAGCAGCCAAGGTGAGATCATCATCATCAACATCATCAACATCCGCATCAGCAGCAGCCAAGGTGAGATCATCAGCAGCAGCAGTAGCATCAGCAGCAGCCAAGGTGAGATCATCAGCATCATCAAAATCATCATCATCAACATCATCAGCAGCAGCAGCATCAGCAGCAGCCAAGGTGAGATCATCATCATCATCAACATCCGCATCAGCAGCAGCCAAGGTGAGATCATCATCATCAGCAGCAGCAGTAGCATCAGCAGCAGCCAAGGTGAGATCATCATCAGCATCATCATCAACATCATCATCAACAACATCATCATCATCAGCAGCAGTAGCATCAGCTGCAGCAAAGGTGAGATCATCATCAGCAGAATCATCATCAACATCATCATCAGCAGCAGTAGCATCAGCAGCAGCCAAGGTGAGATCATCATCAGCAGAATCATCATCAACATCATCAGCAGCAGCAGTAGCATCAGCAGCAGCCAAGGTGAGATCATCATCATCAACATCATCATCAGCAGCAGCAGTAGCATCAGCAGCAGCCAAGGTGAGATCAGCAGCAGCAGCAGTAGCATCAGCAGCCAAGGTGAGATCATCATCAGCAGAATCATCATCAACAACATCATCAGCAGCAGCAGTAGCATCTGCAGCAGCCAAGGTGAGATCATCATCATCATCAACATCATCATCATCAGCAGCATCATCATCATCATCAGTAGCAGCATCATCAGCAGCATCAGTAGCAGCATCATCAGCAGCATCATCAATCTCATCATCATCATCATCAGTAGTAGCAGCATCATCAGCAGCATCATCAGCAGCATCATCATCATCAGCATGATCACCATCACCACTGGTGATCATGCTGGTGGTGGTGGTGGAGGTGGTGGAGGTGGTGATGATGGTGGTGATGGTGGTGGTGAGTGGAGGTAGTGATGATGGTGGTGGTGGTGATGGTGGTGGTGGTGGTGGTGGGGGTGGTGATGGTGGTGGTGGTGGTGGTGATGGTGATGGTGGTGTTGATGGTGGGGGTGGTGGTGGTGGTGGTGGTAGTGATGGTGGGGGTGGTGATGGTGGTGGTGATGATGGTGGTGGTGATGGTGGTGGTGGGGGTGGTGGTGAGTGGAGGTAGTGGTGGTGGTGAGGGTGATGGTGGTGATGGTGAGTGGTGGTGGTGGTGGTGGTGAGGGTGATGGTAGTGATGGTGGTGGTGATGATGGTAGTGATGGTGGTGGTGAGTGGAGGTAGTGGTGGTGGTGAGTGTGATGGTGGTGATGGTGAGTGGTGGTGGTGGAGAATGGTGGTGGTGGTGGTGATGGTGGTGAGCGGGTGAGGTTCACTATTGCCGTGTTCTGTGTTGTGCAGGAGGTGGTGGTGAGGGTGGTGGTGGTGGTGGTGAGGGTGGTGGTGGTGGTGGTGAGGGTGGTGGTGAGGGTGGTGAGGGTGGTGGTGGTGGTGGTGGTGAGGGTGGTGAGGGTGGTGGTGGTGAGGGTGGTGGTCGTGAGGGTGGTGGTGAGGGTGGTGGTGAGGGTGGTGGTGAGGATCGCCTCTGGCCACTGCTTTTCCCGTGCGGCTCCCTCAAGAGAGAAGAACTTCCCAGCATCCTACACAACGCTGGTCAGTGACACACACAGTGACACACACAGTGACACACACACACAGTGACACACACACACAGTGATATACACACACACAGTGACACACACAGTGATATACACACACACAGTGACACACACACATACACACAGTGACACACACACAGTCACACAACAACAACAACAACCGCCATTCGCCACTAAGTGGCGGTGACGTCACCACGACGCTTGTGCCAGGCTATGTGCACCCTGAGGCCACGTGAAGTGTCGAACGCCCGCTGGCAGGAGGTCACGGGGCAGACCCAGGTGCCACGGGTCGACTGACTGAGATGACTGGCTGATGCACCACCTGTGCCCCCTACTGTGCCAACCTCCTGTGCTTTAGCCACCCGGCGCTCCGCTCGTTGTTGTGAGCGTCGCTCCTCCGCCCTCCGTTGTTGTTGGAGGGCGACTGCCTCCAACTGCCCAGTAGCATCCTTCACGAGCCTCCTCCACAGAGGCCGATCTTGACACCGCTGGTACCAGTCATCGGCAAGTCCACTCAGCTCCACGTCCTCCTGTACCACATCACTCCATCTCTTCTCTAGCCCGTGCCGCGCCCGCTTAGCCCCCTCAATCCAGCCAAACAAAAGCTGTTTCGGCATGCGGTGGCTGGGCATGCGGGCTACATGACCCAGCCATCGCAGCCTTGCCTGCCGGAGGAGCTCACCGATGGGACCCTGCCCAGATCTTTCAAGGATTTGTGAGCTCCTCACACAATCCAGTCTGGTTAAACCCAGGATGGATCGTAGGCAGGCCAGCCTAAATGTTTCTAACCGGCGAAGATGTTCCATTAGGGGGGTCCACGTTTCGCAAGCGTAGAGAAGGGAGGGAATGACCGTGGCCGAGAAGACCTGAAGCTTAGTGCGGAGCGACAGACCAGGTAGCTTCCACACAGCGTTACGCAACCGATGAAAAGATATTGCCGCTCGACTGATTCGGAGTGAGACCTCTGCTGTTAAACTGGAGCCAGTCATAAGCACACTGCCCAGGTATGGGAAACTCTCCACTCTCTCCACAACTGCCCCATCACCGATTGGGAGTTGTGGGGGTGGAGTGTCCGATGGTACAAAATACCCAGGCAGGTGCTTAGTTTTGGTGGGGCTGATGGTAAGGCCCCACCTCTTAGTGGCACGCTCCAGTCTCAGCAGCAGCATCTCCAACTCCTCCTCTGACTGAGCAGCTATTACCAAATCATCAGCATACATAACGTGGTTGAGCAATAGGGAGCCATCCCTTGACCGCACCCGGGCATCGAATTAGCCTCCCATTATATCTGTACCATATGGAGATTCTCCTGGTACAGCTATTGAAGGCTTCACGAACTAAGTGGTCAAAATAGATGTTAAATAATGTGGGAGCCAGAGGACATCCCTGTCGCACCCCAAGGTGTACAGGGAATGGCTCTGGCTCCCGGCCACGTAGTTTTACCCGGGCCCGCTCACCATCATGAAGGTCCTTAATGATCGTGAGCAGAGGGTCAGGTACTCCAAAAGCACGAAGAACGACCCAGAGCCCAGGCCTACTGATGGTATCATAGGCCTTGACCAGGTCAATAAAGCAGAGATGTAGGTCTTGTTGGAATTCCCTACACCTCTGCTGTAGCAGACGGACAGAAAATATGGCATCTGTGCAGGACCGCCCTTTCCTGAAACCGCATTGGGGCTCCGCAAGCCTCTCCTCAGCGTGCCTGGCAAGGCGATGCTGAATAATCCTTGCCAGGACCTTTCCCGGCACACTGAGGAGTGAGATGCCCCTGTAGTTGTTACAGTCTGTGCGGTCCCCCTTCTTAAAAAGGGGGACCACCAGGGCATCCTTCCAATCCTGCGGAACCTGTCCAGTGGTCCAGACTGTTGTTATGATGTCATATAGGGCAGTCTGTGCACAAACGCCACCCTCCCTCAGCATTTCGCTTGGGAGATCATCTCTGCCCGCTGCCTTTCCTGGTCTCAGACTCCGGATCGCCTTCAATACTTCCTCAGCAGATGGCACCTCAGCCACCCACTCACAGGGGGTGACTTCATCCAATATTTGAGGCACCGCAGCCTCAGCAGGGTCATCCTCACTTTGTGC